CAAGACTGGGGACAAGATATACATTATGAATATATTTTGGGCCTTTATTTGTTTCAACAGCGATAGTGCCTTTTCCTTTCACTTTGACCAATGTGCCATTACCCAATTTCACTTGGGATTTCACCAATGTATCAATATCGGTGAATATAGATTCGTCCCCCGTCATATCATTGCTACACCCACTATCAATGTACCACGTATATGTATCATCAATTTTTTTTATTATTTGCTGCTTGGCCTGCGTAGAATGTGTTGTCTTCACTTTCTTTTTCTTCAACATAGTTGGCTCGATTATTTATTTTCGAGCGACAATATTTTTCTACGTGGCCATATCTTTTACAAAAGCGGCATTGTGGTTTATTTCTAAGCCAGCAATCTTTCTCCATATGATAAGTATTCTTGCAAATACCACAAGGTGGCTATTTTTCCTTTTGGATAGTTTCTCCTCTTTTACTTTTCCATGAGCTCCTTCCACCATTTTTAGATTGATGAGACCGTATATTCATTTTAGATTGAAAGGCACTTTCAACTGAATCTTCATCTTGTGCCATTAGTCTTTTCTCATGTGCTTCTAGAGAGCCAATTAATTCACTTATTGACAGGGTCGTTAAATCTTTAGTTGCTTCTATAGTTGTCACAATAGGATTGTACTTTCTAGTAAGTGACTAGTATTTTTTCTACGACCCTTTGATCAGCGATTTCATCTCCATAGGCTCTCATTTGATTAACTAGTTCTTTTAATTTTCCACAGTATTCTTGAATGGTCTCATTTACTTTCATTTTAGAATTCTCAAATTCTCTTCTTAGAGTTTGAAGCTGAATAGTGCATACCTTTTTTGATCCTTGGAATTCTTCTCGTTGTGTTTCCCATGCCTTCTTTGCCGTCTTCGCTCCAATTATCCTCGAAAATACTGTTTCCGAGAGTGCTTGCTGAATAACACATAGTGTCCTTGCATGCTTTTGTAGTTGATCTTTTGGAACGCTTGCACCTTCTTGTGGAGCCTCATAACCCTTTTCTACGATGTCTCATAAATCTTGGGCCATCAAGAAAGTAGTCATTTTAATGCTCCAATAGTCGCAGTTATTCCCATCGAAAATAGGAATGGAAAATGAGGATGATGTAGAGTTGGCCATAGTTTAGTTGTTGGATGGTTGAATGGGTAGTTTTAGGAACGGGTGGTTCGGACAAACGCCCAATACCAGCCAAAAACGTGGCTCTGATACCAATGTTAGTGTTTGCGGAAGCATGATTTGTTTTGTAAGTGAGTGAGTGATTTAGTGAGTGCAAGTGTTGGTACGTGGACTTGGAGCAACAATAGAACAGAACTTTGATAGTGGAAGACAAGTAGGGAGCAAAGAAGACAAAAGGAGTATTGTATTATGAAGGCTTATACAAGGGACTTAGTTTTTTCTTCTGATGGGCATATCCTTCAAGTGGAGACGGGTTGGCTATTTATAGCCCTCTTCCACCGCCATTAAGTAAAAATCTAAAGCATGTTACGTAGATATTTTTCAAGAGTTTTCTACACATATCATATTAGTCTTTTAGAAATATCATAGCCCTCTTCCACTGCCATTAAGGAAAAATCTAAAGCGTGTTATGTAGATATTTTTCTAGAGTTTTCTACACTTATCACATTAGTCTTTTAGAAATATCATAGATATTTTCTAGAAACTCTTCTAGAAATATCTTAGATATTTCTCACAACTTTTTAGACTATTCATCTAAATATCTATTCTCCAAAGATTTTGCGCATACTAGAAACTTCTAGAAATTGGATCACTATTTCAACAATCTCACTATCGCGGGCTTAAATTAAGTATTTTCCAATGTGATGGGCTCGAATAACCTAAGGCTAACTTATAATTAAACTTCAATGGGCTAAATTAAGCTAAAATTAGGCCAACTAAGGCCTTTTTCGCCTTATGAATTTCGGTCACTACTCCTTCCCCTTGCTAGGCCGAGTTTTGGCCTCTTGTCGCGGGTCAAACTTGCTCAATTAGAACTCAATATCATTCCTCGTCAATCCAATGCATCATGCAATTAAACTATACAATTCTAAACTATATGCTATGTAATTTAACTTTAGTATTTTTGTTTAGGGGTTAAATTATTAATTCCTAATTTTAAAGGTAATTAATTTCTAAATGGTTGGCTAAAATTTAGGTATCAATAGCACATGAAGAACATTATGAAATGTGAGGGCAGGTGAAAGCTTGATGGATCATGTTCCAGCTATAGCCGAAAAAAACCATATGTAATTTTGATTTATTTATTTCTTATACATGGACTATAGGTAAAATAGAGTTTTGAACAACCTGTCATATGATTGGTTGCTCCAAAATCAAGAATCCATGGAGTAATTTGGTGTGAATTTTCTATGAGGAAAGCAGTAGAAAGACAATTACCTTTCTTGGCTAAAGAATAAGATGGATTTAGAGAAGGTTGTGGAGGTTGTAGGAATATGTATAGGTGTTCTAACTGTTTCTTTGCGAATGAAACCGAATATGACTTGATTTTCTCTTTCCTCATTTATTGCTTAAAATGCATGACCATCACTACTACTCCTTCTCTTCCAATCTTCTTTTTCCCAATTATGCAGTTTCCCATGAATTTTCCAGCAAGTCTCTTTGGTATGCTATGGCTTATTGCAATGTTTACATCATGGTTTCTTCATCCTGTCTTCCTCGGAATCAGGCCCGCGAGATACAAGTGCAGAATTTTTGGATATAGAGTTGGCACTTGTTTCCAGATCACGTAGCATGATTCGCCTCCAAGATTCCTCCCTTCTAACTTCGGAGAAAACCTCGCGGATGGATGGTTGAGGTTTTTGACCAGGGATTCTGCCTCTCACCTCATCCAAGCTTCAATTAAGGCTTGCTAGAAACATGTATACTCTTATCATTCTCTTCTCTCTTCATTTGACTCTTGCAATTTGCCAAACTTTCCCATGTATTATCATAGTATTGAGGGAAAATGTCAATTAATGACCCAAAGTGGGTCTCTTTTTTAAAAAAAGGACCCCAAGTGGACAATGTTTCAATTAAGGACCCAAACTAGTCTCAAATAAGGACCTAGCTCGCCAGCCGGCCAAATGTTTGCCAGCCGGCGACCGTGAGACATTTCCGGCGCCGGAATAGGGGCAATTTTGTCTTTTTCTTTCTTTTTCCTTTTTTCTTTTCTCTCTTCCCTCTTGTGGCCATCACCGGCGACGTCCGTCGGCCTCAAGCGAGGGCCGCCCTCGCCGGCGTCGGGCGACGGCCCCCCTCGCCTGGGTGGGCGAGAGCTGCCCTTGCCCTCGCCAGATCCGGCGAGGCCGAGGGCGGCCCGACGTGGGCGAGGCTGAGGGCGGCCCGACGTGGGCGAGGCCGAGGGCGGCCCTCGCTGCAACCCTCGCTACCCCAAGTGAGGGTGGCTCTCGCAAGCCCAGATCCGACGAGGGCCGCCCTTGGCCTCGCCAGCCCAAGCGAGGGTTGCCCTCGCTGGCGTCGGGCGAGGGTCGCCCTCGCCAGATCCGGCGAAGGCAACCCTTGCCTGGGCTGGCAAGGGTTGCGGTGAGGGCCAACCTCGGCCTTGTCGGCGTCGGCCGAGGATTGCGACAAGGGTTGCCTCGGCCTTGCCGGCGTCGGGCGAGGGTCGCCCTCGCCTGGGCTGGCGAGGGTCGCCCTCGCCTGGGCTGGCGAGGGCGTTCCTCGCTAGATCCGGCGAGGGCCACCCTCGCCCGCCCAGGCGAGGGCGGCCATTGCCCGACTCCGGCGAAGGCGGCCCTCGCCTGAGGCCGACGACGTCACCGACGATGGCCACAAGAGGGAAGAGAGAAAAAAAAAGGAAAAAGAAAAAAAAGAAAGAAAAGGACAAAATTGCCCCTATTCCGGCGCCGAAAATGTCTCACGGTCGCCGGCCGGCGAGCTGGGTCCTTATTTGAGACTAGTTTGGGCACTTTGGGTCCTTAATTGAAACATTATCTACTTGGGATCGTTTTTTGAAAAAAAAGACCCACTTTGGGTCCTTAATTGACATTTTCCCTAGTATTGATCTAATTCATGTCACAAAGTCACTATTTCATTGTAGTAAACAATGACCTCACAATCTGCTTGCTTTGATTTTCATAGCTTTGTCTTCAGTTCACAGATCTGGGAAGAATTTTCCAAATCATAATATGTTTTTCTCTCAATGTCCCACACATCTTTAGCGGTCGGAAGGAATAGATGCGGTTTTCCAATTGCTGGCTCCATAAAATTAATCAACGGGCCAATTACTGAGGAGTTCTCGGATATCCTAGTCTTCCAATACGGATTACTTTTTGTTGGTTCCTTCACCTCGCCTATCGAGTAGTTTAGCTTCCCTTTGCCATCAATTGCTAGTTTCACGGATTGGGCGCACTCCATTCAATCGGTGAACTATTAATAGCATGTTGGAATTCTGGGAGAATTGCTCTCCACCACTGCTCGATTGTGCAAAGTGATTAGTTGGATTGTACTCTGGCACTGACACCTAAAGCAATGTTCTTACTAGCTCCAGTCTTCGCCATTTTCACCATAATAGGAGCTGACTTCAAAACCTTAGCTCTGATACTATGCAGATTTCAATGAGCAAAAATGGTTTCTTTTGTTTTTTATTGCTTATTAGACTTTCAGAGAACAGAACGTATAAATAGGGCCTAAGACAGCTAAAAGATAGAAAGAAAATAAGAGCAGATATAGTAACTAATTTCCTATTTTCTAATTCTAGTGATCTACTTCCTAATTCTGAGGGTTCAGAAATAAAAGCAAATAAAATAAATGAAAACAAAATAATTTCATATCCCGAGATTTTCTCCTAATTCTTCGACACCTCCAACCACCATAAGACGATGGTTGATTGAGTGACTGAGTGGAATGCAAATGATACTGAACAAGTCCAATTCAACGCTAAAGCTGTGAACTTGCTTTGTTGTGCTATTGACGCTGAAGAATATGGGAAAAGTTAAAAGTAGCTTATAAAGGGAAGGTAAAGTCAAGAAGTCTAAGATGAGCATGCTCACTCACTCGTATTAACTTTTCACTATAAATGATGACGAGTCTAGTGTTAATTACCATATTCATAATGCAAGTACGTGCAATATAAGATCGATTCGAAAACTAAAACTAAAAGTGAAACTGAAAGACATTGCTACAAACACAAAGGAAAAAGACTCGAGACGAAAATTTGACAGTTTTGACATAGCTTGAGTGTCCGTGCTCCTTCTGCATTCCTTCTGTTTATAGACCTTGAATCCCGTTCAACGGTTACTAAACTTCTCGACGCGAACCTCCAATCATTCAACTACTCCCGTGTCTCCGTTATTGTTTCTACTTCCACGAGCTTTGACAGCTGCCCTGTTTCCGAGACTTCCTCATTGGCCCGCTCCATCGTGCTTGAATCCGCTCGCACTCAGCAACAGTTCCCGCTTTTGAATTCAAACAAGTTGAACTCCTGTTCCAAGCCCTTGGTAAATTGAACAGCTTTTACAGGCTCTAGGTCAGGCCCGGACTTCTCATTTTTTATATAATCCATTCCTTCTGTCTTTGACCTAATACATGAACAATTTCCCCCTTTAACTGACTGATCATGCTACGCAATTTTTCCATAAGAGAAAAGCACTATAATCAAATAGATGAAAACTTTCCCTTGACTATGTTTTACACAGTAATTGAAGCTGATGGCAACATATCAGCCAAAAAGGGATGGCATCCAGCATAATTCTTTAAAGCAGGAACTTTCTGAATCTTGTTACGTGTAAAACCAACTCAAAGAAACAGGTACGCATCTTCAATCTCGAGACGCACAACATGATTAATTTGAACTCATTTCTGGTGGTGCTCCCAATGGAAACTGAAAATGCAAGCCTTCGAATTCTATACAAACTACAGCCGAATAACAGCTAAATGTTTTTTCCCAGGTACTAGCTTCCATGCTCTGCAGATACCTCCTCCTATATTCATACAGTTGAAACTATCGTTGCCCTAGAGATCAATAAATCAGCCCATGCTCATGAAGATCATGACTATTATTAGTCTATATTGATCTCCAATAGGACTAATTTATTAGTCTATTCCATGATTTGCAGATACCTCCTATATTCATAAGGTTGAGACACTCATTGCCATAGAGATCCATGAATCAGCCCATGCTTGTCGAGATCACGAAATTATTAGTCTGTATGATCTCTAGTGGGACTGTTAAACTGTAGGTTATTCATGCACTATAGCATAGCCTCCAGCCATTACAACATATGCATATAAGGTAATCTCCCTACAAGGCCCTACACAAGACGTCAAAACATGGGGCAAGACATGCGAATAACCATAACTGTTAAGTTTAGTTGGGAATGCAGCGCAATCAAACCCGGTAAAATTGGGCATTGATCCGGATCAAGGAAAAGATATATTTTACACCTTACAGTCACAAGAAGCTGGAGAAAATGAGGTGAAGGTCATAAAAGGATATTATTCATGTCAATTGAATAAGCAAACCATTTCCAGGCAACACATAGGTAATTTCAAATTCAAGTTGGCTTACCTTAAGTGATGGTGCAATAGCAGCAGAGATCAACCTCAGGTCAACCCTCAATAAGAGGTTACTGGCATAGGGCAGTTGAACAATGTGCAATCACAAGGATCCAGAAACTGCCTTGCATTTCATTGAGGCCTTCCCTGTGATCACAAAGCTAGGAAGCCCATACCATCTGGCATTGCGAAGAAGACTTTCAACATCAGGTCTGCTGTCTTCTTCTCCATGTGTTCAACCAGCATGTCATCGTATACAATCACATCTGATTCCTTTAAAAGCTTGCGTTCTTGCATACTTGAAAAAACTTTTCTAGCTTCTTCTATTGTCCCGTCTTTACACAATCCAGAGATGACAGCAGAGTATGCAACATCACTAGGAGGGAAGCCCTCTTGCACCATCTCATCCAGGACTTCAACCACCTTCTCAGCCTGCCCTGACTTACTCTCATGGACAATCGTCAGAGAGTATTTAAACTCCATGGGTCCACTCGTGATATTGGCCAGGCAATCACGAACAAGCATCATAGTAGCATCAATCTCGCATATTTTGCTAAGTCCTTTAGCGAGAGCACGATATGCATCTACAGTGGGAAGACTGCACATTCCCATTATCTTATTATAACATGTGCATGCCTCTTTTATTTCCCCGATTGCAACAAGACATTCGATGGCAATACTGTAAGTCAAGGAATCGGGCTCGATTTGGGTGTTCTTCATTTCATCAAATAGAGACATTACCAATTTCACATCCCCAGACTTTTTCAAAGCCCCCATCAAGATATTGTAGATCGACACGCTGCAGTAACCTTTTACTTTCAAGTCCCTGAAAACATCTAAAGCTATTGGCATCCTCTCTTCCTCACAAACAAAATATGAGAAAAAACTGGAGAGATAGTTTATCACGGAAAAACCAAACTTCTCCATCTGTATCAGCAACTTGCTGAAATCCTCCGTTCTTCTCATCTCGGCATAAGAAACCAGAATGGGATTGACTGTCCCAAAATCTGGCTGGAGATCCTCCTGCAACGTTATAAAGAAAAGCTTGTGAGCCTTATCAACCTGCTTGACATTACACAAGCCTTCAATGAGAGAGTTATAGATCCGCAAGTCAGCTCGATACGCTGAGTCAATTAAATCCTTCAACAGGCCGCAAGCATATTCAACTTTGCCACCTGCAACAAATGACTCGACTAACACGCCATAAATCACCCGATCAATCAAAAACCCTTTTGCTTTCATCTCCTTAAATAGCTCAAAGGCCTTGTCCATTCTCTTTCCTTTACACAATCCCGTAACCAAGGTTCCATACGCCATAACATCAGCCTTGACACCATCTCTCTTCATTTCTTCCCACACCCGTAAACATCCGTCTAAATTTCCTTTCGAAACCAATATCTTAACCATTGCCGTGTATGCAAAAATATCCGGCTTGCACAAGTTTGCTCTCATTTTAGGCAAAATCTCCATCATTTTATTTATCCTCCTCGCCTCACACAATCCTTTTATCAAGATCATGTAAGTGACACGATCCTCAACCAGCCCGTCATCCCTAAAATCATCGTAAACTGACAATGCCAGATCCAAATAATCAGTCCTCACCAACCCATCAATAATCTTGTTATACAAGAACACATGTGGCTTCACGCCGAACTTCTTCATCTTCTCATACACATAGTAAAGCTTCAATCCCCTATTGGCATCCGCATGCATCCTAATCAAAATCTCGAACTGCTTCTCACTAGGCGGCTTCCCCTGCAAGTCCATCAACTCGGGCAGCTGGTCAGCTGCTCAGAACTTCTTGTTCCTATTCAAGCAATAAGCAAATGCATTGTAGGCAGCATAGTTATGCCTATAACCCTTTTGCCTACCTGCCCAAGCAAATAACTTGGAGGCAACCGCGGCGTTATTTTCCGCCTTGAGCACCTCCGCAACGAGGCCGGACGTCACGCGGCGGAGCTTGCCGAGCTCGGCGACGACGGGCGGGCCCCAGTCGCCGCGGTTCCGGCGGAACGCATTGACAATGAACCGGGCGATCGGATAGAGGCGGTGGGAGGCGGTGGGAGGAGGCAGGAGGCGGCGAGGGAGGAGGGAGGCTCCGGCGCCACGGGCGGAGACCGGAGGGGGCTGCGGTGGTTTGGGTCCCATTTGTGGAGGTGGAAGGGAGGCGGGGGGTTTGTGGGTCTGGGGCTTTGCCGCGCAGGGATGGTCTTGCGGGAGGAGAAGAGGCCGCCGTAGACGACGGGGCGCTTCTGGGAGGGCTTGCGGTAGTCGTAGAAGAAGTATGGTTTGTAGGGCTTCGGCGCCGGAGGGTGGTTGGGTGGCATTCGTAGTCTTTTTTGGGGCGTCGCCGCCGTCGGACGGCGGAGAGATCGGCGGAGAGACGCGCCGCAAGTGTCGATAGAAAATAATGACTGAATTAGAGGGAGAATAGTATTTTTGGTTATAGTCATTTGCTTCTTCATGTTTTGTAGTTTCTAAAATTGCAATGTGCACCCTATATTTTGGAGTCCGTTTCAAATGTACCCCTTGCCTATTACTTTTGGCCAAATTTTCACCCATATTTCAATCAAATACTTTCTCGTTAATGGTGTTTGTTGCGGAGGCAAATCCATCCAGCAAATTCGGCAAACTTATATTTTAGGTCTGCCACGGACCATCATTACCATTCTACCATTTTTCCTCCTCTTGTCTAGTTTGCTTCCTTGTTAATTTTTTTCTTTTCATTTTTCCTTCGTATTATGATTAATTTTTCGGATTTTATAATCAAAGTAAGGACATGGCAAAGAGTTTTTAAAGATCAAGGGCACAATGGGTGTGTTTGGTTCAGCATTTTGAAAAAGTTTGGAAAAATGCAAAGACTTTTAGATCAAATGTGTTTTGCAAAATGCTAGTAGTATTTGATTGATTGTAATTTAAAAGTGCATTAAGAAACAACTTTAAATCACACTCTGTAAAGTGCTTTTTCTTAAAAAAAAAAGTCAAAATTGATGAAAGACTCGGTGATCGTTGGGCACATGATGAGGCCAAATCTAGCCGTCGACAGCCTCGCCTTAGGTCACTCGACCTCAGGCGATCGTCACTTGGATTCCTCGCGGGACTCAGGTGAGGCTGCCGCTGCCAGATCTAGCTTGCCAAGGAAATTGGCCATGGCGGCGATCATGCTCGATTTCCCCGTCCTGGGTGGGCCGTAGAGTGGTAGCCTAGCTTCCAGGCTCGGCCCATCCGTTGGTAGAAGCCCTTCCCAACCTTGAAGTCCCGGAGATCCTCCATGATGTCCCTTTTCCTCTTTGGGTTCATGGGCAATTAGAGGTGAGTGGTTTCATGTTCCATACAAGTTCCACCTGGAACCTACTCACGAGGTCAGGTTCTTATTTTTTGGAACCTGTAATCTACCCTACATACCTTGGAACCTAAAAACTATCCCGTCACAGGTTCCAGGGTCGGTTCCAAGATCTATCCAAGTTCCACCTGTATTATTAATTGAACAATTGTAGTAAATTGTCACTTTTAATGACCACCACTTGCTTCTATGATCCACTAACCACAACTTATATTTAAACACACGAAGATATTTGAAACATTAACAAGTCATAAAATGAAAACTCAAATTAGTGGTTCCATATTATACACTCATCATCTAACACCATAGAACATCGAAGAATCACGCGAAGACATAGACCAAGAAAAAGTACAAAAAACTTGTTTGAGGTTTTGAGGTTTCAGGTTTCAAGTTCTAGGTTCTAGGTTCTACCTATCTAGAACTTAGAACCAACTCGTCGAAACAGATTCCCCAATTTTTGGAACCTGAAACCTACCCTGCATACCTTAGAACTTGGAACCTACAGATTTCTACCGTCAGGTTCTCAGGTTCCATGTTCTACCCTAGAATCATGCTCACCCCTATGGCCAACGCGTGGAAGGTGCTCGGGTGCTTGAACGGCACTAATTCCCATGGGTGGCCCTGGGAGTAGTTTTTAGAGTTAATACCACGAAAGACCTCAAACTGGTACATTTGTGATAAATTTACCCCAAATTAATTTTTTGACCACTAAAAACCTCAAGCTAGTACACCTAGGATATATTACCCTCCGTTAGTTTCCTTTAAATTCTACTGTTAAATTTCTGAGTTGAATAACACATTACAGTTGACGAGTGTACTAGTTTAGAGTTTTACCCTCCATTTGTCACTGGTGTATCAGTTTGTGATTTTTCGTAGTATTAATCCAATTTAACGGAAACTAACGGAAGGTAAATTTATCACAAATATATCAGTTTGGGGTTTTTTATGGTCAAAAAATTAATTTAGAGTAAATTTGTCATAGATGTACTAATTTAGAGTTTTGATAATCAAAATTAATTTAGAAAAAAATTATCTTAAATGTAGTAATTTATAATTTTTCGTGATATTAACGCTAGTTTTTAAGGCCGGCCCTTGCTCTCAAAGATGAGAACAGTAGCCTTTAAGGCCAAATCCATAAGTACAAAAAAAAAAGCAAGTCTGTACTAACTTGTGTGGGTCCAATTAGCTTCCTCTTTCGCACCTCGTCCGTGTCAAAACCACACCAAGAGAGATCCATTCATTCGATTTCCTGTATATAGTATTCTTGATGAACATTTCCATGCAATTACAACCGGACGTGTTGTTCGAACAAAAAAAAATAAAAACAATTGGATGTGCTGGTGCTGGATTGGCCGTCTTCGCCATCGGACTCCTCCCCGAGCTACCACGTAGGATAGTTGGCGCTGACTAGACCGTCACGTCAGCGATTTCTGATCAAAATTAAAAGACTTACGACTGAATTAATACAATTGAAAGGTTTAGGTCTGAATCGGCCATCCTACAATAAGTTTAGAACTTTTTGGACAATTTTCTCTAATAATAAATACAATCAATCTTCTTTTCCAACCTTTGAGATTTCACCATTAGCCTTTGACTGTGAATGAGAGAAATCTGAAATGAAATAGACCTCCGAAGGACAACTTAAATTCACCGTAGCCATATAATCCAAGGTAACTGTGTTAAGGAATGTGCTTGATATATGGTCGGTCCGCTCAAGACATTATTCACTAAAGTATATGATATCCCTTAGTAAAAAAACACATATTTTTCATTTTTTTTTCAAGCTGTTCACGGAGGAACTCAACATTAAAGTATATGGCTATGGAACTCATCTTTTAATTTTTAATTAAGGGGTCCTGAACTTGGCTTATGTCACTATCCAAACCTTGCAACTCATTCACATGAAGAATCTCCCTCATTATGACCTTCAATTTCATAGAGCAAAAGGGTAACATGTTGAGAGCCATTTGATTTAATCCCTTTCAAAACAAACACTAATATTATAGTCCGTGTTGATTGAATTCGGACACGGTTTGATTTTGAAATCTCCTCTCGAGCTCCTTGTCAGCTTCAATAATCAATTAATCATATCAAGCTCAAGCACTAGGCCAACTGGTAAACTACTAAACAAAAATGATAAAAAGAAGTTGTGAAGTCTGCACCAAAAAGAACAAAATTGAACATCTATTTGTGGGACCCAGGTTTTCTAAATTGGTTCCAGCAAGTGTAGGAAAAACAGCACCTAAGCTCCAATTAATCAGAATCCACAACCCCCTTTTCTAAATTGGTTCTGGCAAGTGTAGCAAACATCTCCTTACAACCGCACCTGTGGTTGCTTGCATCAGTATTCAAGTACCACGTATCATTTTGTCCTCAATCATTTTCTTTGAATGCCAATAAAAGAACTTGGTCGGCATCATTCACCAAGTTTGCCTTTTCGCCTGCTTCACTACTCTCTTTGTTCCAACAGTCAGAAGCATAATGGCCAAGTTTATTGCAATGATAACATTGAATTTTAGATTTATCATATCATTGCCCTCTCGAGTTCTGTCCTCTTTCACGATCACCTCTTTGATTTTGGTATCTACTGTCATTTCGAGCAATATCTCCTCTGCTTCGTCCACGACCTCTTCCTTGAAAGAGACCTCGGTTTCGACCTCAATCACGATCTTGATTAGTCCCTTGAGTTTGCACTGGATTTCTACTTTGCCCCTTCTCGTCTCGGATGGTCAACCGAGTTTGGAGTACTTCCTCCACAGGTTCATGCTTGTTTCTTCTGAATCTTTCTTCATGGGCTTGCAATGAACCCTAAAGCTCATCGATCGTCATGGCATCCAAGTCTTTGGGCTCTTCGATTGCAACGCCAATATGATCATACTTTTTGTCTAAGGATCAAAGAATCTTCTTGACAACAAAAAACATCTAAAACATTTTCTCCATTTCTTTTCATTTGGTTGACAATTACTAAAACTCTTGTGAAATAACGACAATCAATTCAGATTCTTTCATGTGGATTGCTTCAAATTCACCTCTCAAAGTTTGAAGGCGAATCTTTTGAACTTTTTGCACTCCTTGGTGTGTGTTGTGAAGAATTCCCCATGCTTCCTTAGAAGTAGTAGCGTTCGACACCTTTTCGAACATCGAATCATCTAAAGCTTGATAGATGATTGACAAGGCATATTTGATCTTTTGCTCAAACTTTCTCCAAGGCTTTCCTCTAGTTTGATTTAAGGTGGCGTCATCCTCTGGCTCATCATAGCCGGTGTTGACAACTTTCCACACACTAGAGGCGCCGAGTAGAGCTTTCATTCTAACGGCCCAATTATCATAGTTTTCTTTGGTAAGACGGGTATTGAAGGGAAAGCTGATTGTTTGTTGAGGACATGATCATAAATCGTGTTCTCTGATACCAATTTGATAAGTAATTTTGAAGGTGAAAACAATCACAACTCACAGAGAAGAAGGAGATGGATAGGCTTCTTTGTCCACTGTTTTTCACCATGTCGGAAACAATTACAAGACTTGCCAATTTATTGGCTAGTTACATGACTCTTACTCTTACTTTTAATTAACTCATAAATGAACTCTACCATTCCAATGAGATAGATTTATATAAATTTACAAAACATTAATTAGACATAAAAAGTCTAACAGACTCCTTGAAAAAATAATACTACAATAAAAACTCTTCTTGAACGTGTGCACCGAACAGTCTTGGGAGTCGAACGGCCATCGATAACTTGTTTAATGAATTGATAACTTCCAACAAATTTGGTTTAATTACTAACATGCTTTGACACGCGCGCGCACACACACTCTCTCTCTCACTCAGCACACATTACTCTCGGTTTCCATTATCACCAGCAACTCATCTCATCTCTCGGCTTTATCAAGGTATGTCGCCCGAGTGTTGTTTGCATTTATGTGTTGATTAGTTTTAAGAAGAGTATCAGGTCCTGTATTAGAGTTGCTGCCTCCATGCAGAGTAATAGATCTTGTGCTTGCTACGGGTATCTTAATTTTGAACTCATTTGAGCCTTGACCAAGAGTCCCTCTCTTCTAGTGCTATGATCGACCATCTCATGATGTACTTCTGTTCACGTACGTCTCATTTGTGGACTATTGGGTGTAGTTATTGGGTGTAGTTGGCTTGTACCCAACCGAGAGACCCCTGGTATGTCATGGATTCATCCACAGTCTGTCCATATCTTCTGATCCCGTCAACCAATGTTAGTGTATAATGGTCTTTTTTGTGGTCGTATCAACATCAGAAAATTCTTTAGCTTACCGATTACTTGAACGTACGATTTGCACAACTGAACTTGCCTCTGCTCATAACATAAGCTTGCCGGTCACCCCTATTTGAGCATGAATGGCGGCGATCTTAATCCCATTTGAGTGTTGTTGCATCTGCCCTTGATGAGGCGTTTATATGTTAATCCCATATATAGCATGATTAAGCATTGTTTGCATAGGCAAAAAGGTGGCTGTGTACGTCGTGTGCTTGCCGGTTGGTCACGGCCAAACTTGAATTTTGACGATTATGAGAGTTCAATACTTTGGTTCCCTCCTTACCCAAAAAAAAATACTTTGGTTCCCTTAAAAAAAAAAAAAAGGTTTGCATGTTGGGGGTCACAATTTCAAATCTTTTTGCCGATGTGGTATGGTGGTCGAATAACAAATCCTGGCCCAATGTCGAAAAATTGCCTTCATGAAACACTGGGTTCTGATGTTTGATGGAGCCAATTTGTGAAGAGAGGGGGTGGGGGTTGGGCTTCTGATGTTTCATGTAAGGCAATTTGTGAAGAAGGGGGGGGGGGGGGGGCATGTTTGAAGGCAATTTTTGAAGAGAGAGAGAGAGAGAGAGACAGAGAGAGAGACAGAGAGAGGGAGGTAGGTTTTGATGTTTCCTGGAGGGTTTCGATGTTGCATGAAGGCAATCCATGGGGTGTTTTTTGGAGAGACAGAGAGAGCTTGTGTCAGCACAATCAATGGAAAAAAGTAAGGGGTTGACCACAAGGGCGACTGCATTTGAGCAAGTAAATGACCAAGAAAGGCCGAGGAAATCGGAAATAGCCCTTCAAAACCCACAACCCCCACTTTCTTTCTTCCATATATACTCTCCAGCTCGCTTCCTCAGAAAAACTCACACCCAAAATGCCCAAATCCCCCATTTCTCCCCGCCCTCCACACCCCCATCTCTTCTACATCGTCTCCTTCTTCCAAACCCGGGAGATCTCCTCAGCTTTCACTCACGCAGAATGGCAGAAATGAAGGAGTCTTGGACATCTCTGGCCTCCCTTCTGGGCATCCTGGCCTTCTGCCAGAGCCTCATCCAGGTGGTGATCCCGCGGGAGCTCCAGCTCGCCTCCCTCAAGTTCCTACTCCGGGCCCTCGGCTGCTTCTCCTCCTACTGCTACTTCGACATCACCGAGATGGACGGCGTCAACACCAACGGGCTCTACAACGACGTCCAGCTCTACCTCTGCTCCTTCGTCTGCAGCTCCGCCAGCCGCCTCTCCCTCAGTCGCGCCCTCAACTCCAGCGCCACCATTTTCGGCCTCTCCAACAACGACGTTTTTGACGGCGTTGCCGTCCAGTGGGAGCACGTGGTGATGCAACGCCAGTCCCGGACCTTCTCGTGGCGTCCCCTCCCCGATGAGAAGCGTGGCTTCACGCTCCGGATCAGGAAGCGGGACAAGGAACTCATCCTCGACTCCTACCTGAACGACATCAAGGACAAGGCCAACGACATCCGCCGCAACAACCAAGAACGCCTCATTTATACTAATTCGCACAGCGGTTCCCGGGGTCACCCATGGGTATCGGTGCCGTTCAAGCACCCGAGCACTTTCGACACGTTGGCCATGGACCCGGAGAGGAAGAGGGACATCATGGAGGACCTCTGCGACTTCGCAGCCGGGCAGGACTTCTACCGGCGGACAGGCCGGGCCTGGAAGCGGGGCTACCTGCTCTATGGCCCACCTGGTACGGGGAAATCGAGCATGATCGCCGCCATGGCCAATTTACTCGACTATGACATCTACGACCTGTTGGCCACGAAAATGGCACGCCCAGGATCACCGTAATCGGAAACCGCCGAAACACGTTAATGGAGAAATTATCGATTCGCGTACCTGGTTTGGAATCCATCGAACTTGACGCGGAATTTGCGACAGTTTCCGAACACGAACTCAAGTGCATCTCACCTATACCCTTCGTCGGACACTGGCCTAATGAGATTGTCACTCACGAGAAGAATTTCCTCTCTAGATCCGTATGTGAGTCAGATTGTGCATCATCAGGTTAGGGGAGGGACTTGAGCGCTACTTATAGAGTCTTCGACCACGGGCCCTCTCATTACGGGCCGGGCCGTACTCGGCCCACACTAGCCAGCCCCATATTAGACTTATTAAGAACCCACATATCTCACATTTATTAGACTAAACTAATTCAGTTAATTTCAATTAATGAAGCCCACATTAGGAAATTCTTACATTCTCCCACTTGGGCGATATTAATTGAAACAGAACTGTGTGCGCATCATTATATTGGTCTAGAGATTATTCTTAACAGTCAATCCGATCCCATAAAGTCTCGAACACCGAATCATAGCGGTAACTGCATGTACTCACGCAGAGCTTTCCATGGTCACAAGTGCTTTCAACTTTACTGATATGGATTCAATATGGTAGTGTGTCAAATGGACAATACCTCATAATGAGTGATACTTCATGTGTTGTCCATTTTGTCAGTCCAAATTCTCTCTCCTTAAGTGTCACAAAACCTAGTGTGTCACCAGATAATATCTTTCATGGTTCCAACGAACCTGCATATGTCTTACCTTTATAGTTAACTGTACCTTATGTGTAATAAGACATATCGATAAAGCTAATACCAAGAATGCCCGTAGCCTGTACTCGAGGTTTACACAATGCCTCGAGATTTTCATCAAATATATATATGTACTCAACATGATAAAATTACATTCACAAAAACCTCATTGAATGCAAAAAGTTGATACATATCCAAATGCTACAAAATGTAACATAAAATCATATACAAATTGCATAAGAGCAACACAAGACTAAACAGCTCCCACTAATAAACAATATCCCATGATACTCCTAAGCCCATGTTAATGACATGTCGATCAAATACACAAAGGCGAAGGCCTTTAGTTAGTGGATCTGCAATCATATCATCTGTCGAAATGTGCTCTACTGCAATGTCACCATTATGAACTTTTTCCTTTATAGTCAGGTACTTGACCTCTATATGCTTAGACCCCTTGAGACCTCTGTTGTTGTTAACAAACATCACTGCAGAGTTATTGTCACAATACAACTGTATGGGCCTATCCACAAAATCCAATACGGTCAACTCCTTAATGAGGTTCCAGAGCCAAATTGCTTGAGTAGCTGCCGAAAAGCATGCTACAAACTCCGCTTGCATGGTAGAGGATGTCATTGGTTTTTGTTTCTCGCTTTTCCATGATACTGCACCTCCTGCTAACTTAAAGATGTAACCTGTTTTCGATTTCTTTTCATCCTGACAGCCAGTAAAGTCTGAATCCGAATACCCAATCGGTTGTAGGTCCTGAACATGTTTGTAAATCAGCATATAGTCTTTTGTCCTCTTTAAGTACCTCAAAACCTTCTTGGCAGCAACCCAATGATCGTGTCTTGGATTTGACTGATATCTGCCTAGAAGTCCTGCTGCAAAAGCAATATCTGGTCTAGTACATACTTGAGCATACATAATACTCCTAAGTGCACTAGCATAAGGTACATTCTTCATTTGGGCTTTCTCAAAATCTGAATGAGGACATTGTGACAGACTCAACTTATCACCCTTACTGACAGGAGCAATTCCTGGCTTGCATTGCTGCATGTTAAATCTTTCTAAGATACGATCAACATATGCCCTTTGAGATAAACCCAATAGTCGGTGAGAACGATTCCTATGAATCTCAATGCCAAGGACAAAAGATGCCTCACCAAGGTCCTTTATATCAAAGTTCTTTGACAAAATCCGCTTTGTCTCATGCAGTAAACCAAGGCCACTACTCGCAAGCAGAATATCATCCACATAGAGTATAAGGAAAATGAATTTCCTCCCACAGACCTTGCAGTATATACACTGATCTACTTTGTTCTCAACAAAACCAAATGAAGCGACAACACTATGAAACTTCAAGTACCATTGTTTAAAAGCTTGCTTGAGACCATAAATAGACTTTTTCAGTCTACATACAAGCGTACCTGAATCATCTGCCGCAAAACCTTCGGGTTGCATTATATAGACTTTTTCATTAAGGTCTCCATTGAGAAAGGCAGTTTTAACATCTATCTGGTGTAACTCCATATCGAAATGAGCTACCAATGCCATGATCACTTTGAAAGAATATTTAGAAGAGACTGGAGAAAATGTTGCTTCATAGTCTACTCCTTCTCTCTAAGTGAAACCCTTGGCTACCAGTCTTGCTTTAAACTTCTCAATCTTTCCTTTGGAGTCCCTTTTAGTCTTATACACCCATTTGCAGCCAGTGGGTCTATGATCTTCAAGTAATTCAACAAGTTCCCAAACACCATTATGCTTCATAGACTATATTTCATCTCTCATTGCATCCAACCACAGTTCCGACTGAGGACAAGAAACAGCTTCCGCATAAGTCACTAGATCAGCCATAGAACCGATATCGTAGTCTTGCTCTCCTATATAGACTAAATAGTCCGGTGGTATAGCTGATCGTCTCTCCCTAATGGATCTCCTTACTGGAGCAACAACAGCCTCATCCTGCACCTGAGAGCCTTGAGGAACTTCATTAGGAGCTGTCTCGATAACAGGATCTTGAGCCTCAACAGGTTCAGTCTGTGGTGTGGGAGTCTCCACAATTATCTGTATAGGAGGAGAAAAAGATACAATATTACCCACCGTACTATTATCTTTAATAGTCTGTGAGCAGCTACTTTCTTCGGCCACATCAAACTCCAGAAATTTCGCTGTCTGTGATTCCACAATTCTTGTGCCTCTATTGGGATTATAGAACCGATATCCCTTCAAATGATCCGGGTAAGATACAAAGTAACACCGAGTAGTTCTGGAGTCCAATTCACTTAATGTTGGATTAGATAACTTCACTTCTGTAGGACATCCCCAAACCTTAAGATGGTTTAAGCTAGGCTTACGTCCAGTCCATAACTCAAAAGGAGTCAATGGAACAGCTTTAGTAGGTACACGATTCAGAATGTACAAAGCTATTTTCAAAGCTTCACCCCACAAAAAACCAGGTAAATTTGTCATACTGATCATACTCCTCACCATTTCCATAAGGGTGCAATTTTGCCTTTCGACTACACCATTTTGCTTTGGACTCCCAGGCATAGTAAACTGAGCCACTATCCCAGAATCCTCTAAGTATTTGGCAAATGGCCCCTTAAGCTGTCCGGCATCGCCATGCTTGCCATAATACTCTTCACCTCGATCAGATCTAACAACCTTTATGACCTTTCCCAACTGTTTCTCGACTTCAGTCCGAAAATTCGTGAACTTGTCAAGAGACTCAGATTTTTCTTTAATCAAATACAGATAGCCATATTGAGAATAGTCATCAATAAATGTGATGAAATATAAATTTCTACGCAAGGTTGCCGTATAGGGTCCACTTATGTTAGTGTGAATGACCTCCAACAGGTCAGAACTTCGGACTGCAGTTTTCTTCCGTATCTTGGTCATTTTACCTCTACAACAGTCTACGCATGTCTCTAGGTCATCTTTAAGAGCAGGCAAGATGTTAGTCTTTATCAACCTTTCTACTCTATCCTTAAAGATATGACTAAGCCGTTTATGCCACAATGCATAAGACTGTTCCTTAGGTAGTGGTCTCTTGGAAACAACCTTTTCAGCCGTATAAGCGACGTATATATCATTGGGAGACAAACACAATCTGTACAATCCGTTGGACATATTACAGCACCCAACCTTATTTGAATTAAGAAACAAAGAAATAACATTGTTCTTGATTTCAAAAGAGTAGCCATACATGTCCAAACACGATACGGAAACTAAGTTTCGTCTAAAAGAAGGTACATAAAAAGTGTCTTTCAACATTAATCTAAAACCAGAGTCTAGAATCAAGATAACATCTCCCACAAACACAACATCGGCTTTCTCGTTGTTTCCCACAGTGAGTCTTGACTCATCCTGATTTGGCTTCCTCCAGTTTATGAATCCCTCTATGGTAAACGCAACATGATTAGTTGCACCGCTATCGAGCCACCAAGAACTGGATGGTGCTTTTGATAGGTTGGATTCACAAACAAGTGCCAAAGAATCATTACCTACAGGCTCACGTTTGGATAACTAAGCCTTGAACTTTCCACAGTCCTTCTTTATGTGACATTTCTTCTTACAAAAGAAGCAGCGATCACCATCCTTCTTGAATGATGTTTTCTTTGGACCCATATTGTCATATTGACCGGTAGTGTCATGAGTATCTTTATGAGTATGATTTCTGGATTTCTTATCCTTCCTTTTGTGGGAACCAGAAACATATAAGGCTAGATGCCCTTTTTCCTTCTTAAGTTTCTCTTCCTCTGCCACCACCCTTGCTATCAAATCATTAACTGACCAAGTCTCATCTTGGGAATTGTAATTTGTCTTTATAATCCCAAAATCAGGTGGAAGGGTGTTCAGGGCTTGATGCACAATGCAAGCATAAGGAATGGAAACATTAAGAGCTTCAAGCTTCGTCTTTAGGTCTACCATCCTAAGGACATAATCTCTAACCCCAGCAGTACCATCATACTTCATATTGAAGAGCCTTTGAAGAAGTGTACCAACCTCATCATTAGATGAAATGCGGTTTCTAGCCTCTAAGGCTGCCATCATTTCCTTAGCAGTACAGTTATCAACCAAATATATATCTACCAAATATAGGGTAATCAATTTTAGAAGATTTGGAATCTTATCTTTAGAAATTAGAAAGTTTTTGTATTTTATTTATTTCTTTCTTGCTAGTAAATCTTCTAGAATGTACTCTTGGGTATTTATATACCTCAACTAAGCTTAATGGAAATATACAACG